CAAGAAAATAAGATGGTTGTCGCTTTCGGCCGTTCGTGGAGTGATGGTGTCCAACGGTGAAGTGACCGGCAAGTCGTGCTCGAACTTGAAGAGCGTCATCCCAATAGCTGGGTGGATGGAGGAGTTGTAGGCCAACTCGACATCAGGCAGCCGCTCAACCAATCCTTCTGGTCAGGACGGATGAGAGTGCGAAGGAGAACCTGTGCGGTCTGGTGCGCCCTCTCCGTTTGGCCATCAGTTTGGGGGTGGCGAGCTGAACTGGGCTTGAGAGATGAGCCCCATCACTTGATGAGCCCCAACCAAAAATCGGACATGAACTGAGTGTCGCGGTCACTGACGATTTCCTTGGGGTAACCCTTGGTTAGAATCCAACCGGCGTAAAGAACCTCAACCAACTCTGGTGCCTTAGCATGATAGCGACAAGGCAAAAACATGGCGAACTTGGCGAGTCGGTCGACCACCGTGAGAATCCCATCTACTCCAGTCTTGTGCTTGGGGAACGGGCCGGTAATGTCCATGGCAATCGCTTTCCTTCGTCTCAAAGGGACCGGTAATGGTCGTAACTCACCGTACGAACGATGGTTGCGGGATTTGCAGCGTCGGCAAACCTCGCATGACTCGCATTAGCGTTTGACGTCGTCGAGAAGGCCAGGCCACCAAAATCGCTCGCGAAGTCGGCCAATCGTGCGATTGCCTCCAAAGTGTCCGGTTTCGAGAGCATCGTGGAACTCGCCAAGAAGCCGTGTACGCAAGTGAGGATCACTCGGTACGCGAAGAAGGTCCTTCCCCAGTGCGTGGACAAACAAGTACCCCTCTTGGATCCGGTACTGAGAAGGCGCCGGATTAGGAGAGAAGCAATTCGTGTACTTGTCGCGAAACTCGGGGTCGGCTTGGTAGTCGCGGATGAAGCTGTTCCACAGGTCGTGGTCGATCTCGAAGGTTGAGTAGACCACGGTACAATGATCCGGACGCCGTAAAAGAGCATCCGCAAAACGGTTCGACTTCCCCGGAATGTGATCGAGAGAGAAGTCGAACTGGTCGATGAAAGCAATCCATCGAGCGATGGTACTGTTGATGGTGTCTTGGAACTTGTAAAAGACCAATGGATTGTTGCCCATTACCCATCAGAATTGACTTCGACCAAGGAGGAAGGGCCGCCACCGCTTGAGCGTGTGGACGAAGGCGAGGAACTCCTTCTTGCGTGCATCGTCAATGGAGTGCATGACGGGCACTTTCTTGGTGAAATACTCGACTGGGTGCAAGTCCACGCCATCGTGTTGCTCGAGGACGGCACCAATACCATAGCCGGACGCATCCGTAGTGACACACGTAGGCAAAAGCGGGTCGTATATGCGCAAGACCTCCGCAGATAGTAGCGCGGCTTTGAGAGCCAAAAATGATTCCCGCGCCACCTCTCCGGAGTCAAACGGTCGATCCTCGCATTGAAGCTTGGTCAAGTGGGCCGCGATCTTCGAGTAGCCTTTGATGAAACACTGATAGTAGCCGGCGAGGCCAGAGAACGAACGGACATCCGTGACGTTCCGAGGCTCCGACCACTCTTGGATGGCTTGAATCTTGTCCAATAGCGGACTGATGCCCTCAGGTGTGACAAAATGACCCAAGTATTCCAGCTCTTGCCGAACAAATTCTCACTTGTCGCGGTTGGCCTTGTACTTGGTGCGGTGGAGCGTCTCCAACACTCGTCGAAGATGCCCAAGCTGATCCTCCAATGTCCGGCTATAGACGAGAATATCGTCTAAGTAGACCAGCACGAACCGGTCCAACATTGCACGAAACTCGTTGGTCATTGCCGCTTGAAAGGTCGTCGGGGCGTTGGTGAGGCCAAAAGGCATGACCACCCACTCAAAATGTCCGTACCGCGTCTTGAACACGGATTTGTAGCGATTGTTCGACCGGATCGAGATTTGATGATATCTCGACTTTAAATCCAACTTAGAAAAATACTTTGCGTCGCCCAATCGTTCAAGAAGATCGTCAATTGCGAGGAAGAGGCCCCGCATTCTTGACGGTTTGTGCGTTGAGCTTGCGGTAGTCGATACACAATCATAGATCCTTGTTCTTCTTCCGGACGAAGAGAATTGGTGCTCCATATGGGGAGCTACTAGGGCGGATCGAGCCCTTCGCCAACAAATCGTCGAGTTGTGTGCGGAGGACCTCAAGAATGATCTCGTGAGAGATCGACCGATCCGGCACCACATCGGTAGGTGACTCGAAGATATCGGCGAACTCGTCCAGCAACCGCACCACCCGGGTGTCTGAAGACAAATCCGTGGGTGAAGACTCGGCTACCTCGACGGTCCGTAGGAAACATAGGCCGATTTCCTCGGATTGCTCATAAGCGCAAGTCGCCAAGAATGATGTGGCACCGAATCGAAGGGTGCGGAAGAGGAATAGTACACGCCACTTTGGCACCGAAGGCATCGCGAACACTAAGAGTCTGCCGGTGGAAGTTGATCGTGTGATCCTCACTTGCGAGCCAAGGCATTCCCAGAATGATGTCGAAGTCCATGTCCAAAATGTCGAACGTCAACGGTTCACATGCATGAGGTGCGAAATACACCGGTACGGCTTCGATGTAACGGTCGAGGAGTTGTTGCGTCTTTCCATCCGCCAACTTGATCGTCGTCGGGTTTGCCTTCCTCCGAACTTGTGTGCCAAGGCCAGCCCTTTGCATACAGGCTTGGCTCATGAAATTGCGAGACGCGCCGCTATCCAGCAAAGCGTTGTAGGACGCGTGCCCAACCTGGATGCGGACATACATGAGCGGTGCGTTGTTGTCATCATACGGCTGCGTGCGAAACTCGCGGGCCACCTTGGTAACATACGCAAGGATGTCCCCTACCGTGACTTCGTCATCCGTCGGCGAAGTTGGTGGTGCATAGAAGGATAAGTACGTGTGGAGATCAGCGCATAGTGTTGCGCATTGCGGTCCCGGCAGGCGGCCCATGGTCGGGAGAGGAATCATGCAAAGTCCTCGGACATGAGCGGGTCAAATACCTCTATGTTGAACTCGCGCGCCGAATCCCGTGAAGAAACACTTGAAGACGATAAGTCGCCGCTGCCTGACGGAGAAGATGTCGCACACACGTCTTGTCCTTCAGCTTGAGTACCCAGTGTAGGAATGAGCTGGGCAGCATAGTCCTCAAAAGAATACGGAAGAGGAGGACTATCGACTTCCGCATGTGCCTTGGAACAAAGGGCGGTCACCCGCGAAGCGACCGGTTCCGAAGGCGTCGAGAGTGTCGTCGAGTCACTCCCGGCGGTGCTCAGTTTCTCGATTTGCCCTTGCCTTTCAACGGGTAGGCCAGTGTCTTATGGAGATCGCTTGCACCATAGGCAATAGTGGAATCTCGTACGCGCTTTGAATGCTTGCTCGGAGGTGCCGTATTGGGACCATGGGGCTGGAGCAGCTGCACCGGGCCCGGGGCTAGATGCGGTGTCTGTCTTCGGCTTGCCACGTCCTCGGCCTTTGCCGGGGCGGCCACCTTCCCGGGAGGCTGCGAGTCTGTCCCCTTCATTGGCAGACACGACCTCGCTAGTTTGGTGAAACGGCGTTGCTGCCGCGACCACGACCACTCTTGGCCGATGCTGGTCTCTGCTCAGGCCTGGCGCAGACGAACCCATGTTCTTAGCCTCCTTGTTCGTGATGATAATTTGTGCGGCCTTGTCAAAGAGTTCCGCCGTTGTCGTCAAGTTGTCCTCGACGTGAGTCAGGGCATTGCTTAATGTCGGACACGACCTTGAGATGAAATAGTGGCGGATGGCTTTGAAGCCCATCTGGATGTCTGGGACTGATGTCAAGCGTTGGTACTCGGCAATCCAGTCGACACTCAGCAGCATGCCTTGTTCGACGACCATTAGCTTGTCCATTGACTTGATCTCCGGCGGCTCAACTTGGAACCGCTTATGTCACGCCGCCTTCAGATCATCCCAGTTGATCTTGGTATGCAAGTCGGCAGCTACCACTCCGTACCTTGACAAGAGATTGTCCAACCATGCCTGGCACGCGCCCCCCTACCGGGAGTATAAGTACGCGTGGTGCTTGTGCTCGAACTTGCGGAACCATGGAATCGGATTTGTCTTCGCCGAGTCGTAGAAGATCTCCTGCCCGTCAAACTTTGGAGCTGTCTCGTGTGGTTCCGAACTCGAGTTGTTGGCGGTAGTACAGATCCGCTGCTCCAGGTGTTGCGTTGCGGTCTGCTGTAACTGCACGTCATCCTTGAGGGAGTCGACGTCCATCTCAAATGCTTCAAGGCGATCGGAGGTGTTGGAAGAGTTGGCATCGGGGGCGGCGACAGGTCGCTGCTCCAGCTATCGGAGGCAGCCGTGGACTTGAGTCAACGCGTCGTCGAGGCTGTGGATGTCCTCCTGATGTGTAATGCATGTTGCCAGGAGGTCCGTGAGATGGGAGACGAGTAGAGTGATCTTGCTTTCGCTATCTTCCATCTTGCCATTCTCGGCCTCGGCCCGCCAATCCGCTGCCATTGTGAGCAAAGTTTGCTCTCCACTAAATATCTTCTCCTGCCGTTGAACTCGTTCTTCATCAGCAGCCTTTGTTGCTGCCTCGTCGTGCTGGCGCTGCTGTTCAAGTGCCAGCAGACGTGCCTGTTCGGCGTCCTTTTCCTTCTTCTTCGCTGTTGTTGCTGCGTCATCTGCCTGTTTCTTGGTTTCGGTACTCCAGGCCAGCATCCGGGCCTGATAGGCCTCGTCTGTTTCCCCGGACCTCTGGTCCATGACGGCTGTTTGTGAATGCAACAGCATAGACCAGGCCGGGGGCCTATTGACATGGTATCCCTTGCTGTTGACGTGGCACTGCTGTCGGATGACATGGCCTGCTGACGTGGTCTGTTGGTGTGTCTTGTTGACGTAGTCTGCTGACGTGGCAACTCACCAATGCCGCCGCAGGGGATACCCGGAGATAGATAGAGAAGGTAAGACCAGAGGTGGCAACAACATAGGTAGGGAGGGGTGGGTGGGGTAATCGCCCAGATAACGTCCAGATAAGGAGCCACTAATCAAAAGACAAAAGTTTGAACTTTGCAAACAAATTTCGAGAAAAATAAAAAATCCCGAGTTTCGCAAGTTCAGTAGGTCTCCCAACCTCCCTTGAAGTGCGAAAGTATCAATGAGAAAAAAAAATTGAACTTCACACTGCCAATTACTATCAGATAGTGAAAATCATAGAACTGCGAAACGAAAAAAAAATCCGAAAAGAAATAACAAGTATTCGGATTTACTCAGATGAGAGTATTCACAGTTTGGAAAATGGTACTGCAAGAGGGATTTCCCGTACCGTTTTCAGAAAAACATATTTCGGAAAAAATATTTCGAGTTCCCAAATAACGGGAAATGCATCAGGAAATCGAAATTTTCGAAAAGGAAGATATTTCGGATTTTAAACAACGAAATTTTGAATTTTCGAAAGAAAAACGAAAACGGAAATTGCAGATGTTGCGCTATTGCGATTTTCCACAACAGAAATAGCGAGAAAACAAAATCCAAGAAAAAGAAAAAATTTTGGATTTTCGACAGTAAGGTCAAAATCGTGATTTTGGGGGCTAACGAGTGTGCTCTAATCAATCAATCAAGACTCATCAGCTACCTACTCCCCATACACGTGTCAAATCAGGTTGTCCTGATTCACGTGCGACACTCCGATACCAACTGCTACATGCCCAGTTGGGCGATGTACATACAAACCGAGGATCCGCAATGTGATGAAAAGGACTGAATGGACAATGCAGTGCAAGTAGAATCTCAACAAGCAATGTGCACTCCGATACATACAAAATGGTGCTTTATAGCGCAGGGAAGACTTAGATACAAGACTTGACCTGACTGAGACTGACCCATTTCACGTAGTACAAGATAGCAAAGCAGAATGCTTGAGTACTAATGACTAGCCCAATCAATGTTTCAACGCAGACCAAACATACATCATACTCATCACAAGGTGTGAAGGAGCCTGGCGTTATACACAGGAAGGAAGCGCCAGGTCCAGACATACATAGACGAAGAGGAGGGGATCAGACGAAGAAGAGGGGGAGAAATGGGAATGTCGTCAACACCAAGTCTTTGTCACAAGTCCCAAATAATCCCTCGTCGAATGTCTGAAGCCCAAAAGTCGAGTCTGGAGCCAATGTCACCAAGCTCTTTCTCTCTCTTTCTCTCGTAGTCTGCTGATGCAGTGAAGTCGGATAATGAGAGGGTGAGAGGGAGATGGTGGACTGAGACGAGGAAGAAGAAGAACTCTCTCTCTCTCACGAGCCAGGTACTAACCTGTGAAGTTGGCGCTGTGATGCAGGTACCTCGAAGACGAAGCCGGAGCAACGGCGATGCAGGTAAGTATCCCTGCCCTCCGCCCAATCTCTCTCTCTCGCTCTAGTACTACCTTGCTATGGCGCCCAGCGCTAAAGACTACAGCTACGCTACTACCGCCCAGCGCTGAAGACTACAGCTACGCTACTAGCGCCCAGCGCTGAAGACTAATGCTAAAGCTACTACTACTGCAGCGCTCCTCCAGAGTGCTACTGTCGAATCCTGAAGACTACTGACTGTCTCATGCCTCCCTGTGAAGTGCATGGGAAGTCCCTATGTACTATCTCGGCCTGCCTTCTGACTGCCTCCGACTGCCTGCAGTTGCAGGGCGGGCAGTCCAGGAGGCTGCTCTTGCCAATGTCGAACTGAGCCAGGGGCTGGCGCTGCAGCTGTCATGGGAACAGGCCAAAAATAGCCTGTTCCTAAAACCCTGGTTCGGTGCCTGAGTTTCAGGGCAGGCCGGTCTGATGACAGACCGGAAATGACCCTTCGTTTCATGCTAAAACAGCTACTGCCATTCTTAGTCTGAAACAACACAGGGTCTGTAGGCCCCTGTTTTTCAGGCTTTCGAGTTGAATGGTCACGGGGCCTGTAGGCCCTGGTTTTCAGGCTTTCAGCCTGATGGACGCAGGGCTTGGAAAATGGCCCTCGTGTGCAGGTGCAGCATGTAACACACCACTTCCAGAACCGGTTTTGGGTATGTAATAGTGAGAAGTTCCGGATCTGGAACAGCATAAAGGTCAGAGTCATTGGACTGCTTGTTGGCAGTTCTTGCACAGCGTAAAAGGCAGGGGGGGGAAAATAAAAAACAGACAGAGGGCTCCGACGTGGAAGAAGAAGAACAAGAACAAGAACAAGAAGAACAAGAAGAACAAGAAGAAGAAATAAAAAAGAAAAAGAAAAAAAGAACCAATGAGGAGGAAGAGGAGGATTAAGAACCAGGACAAGAACAAGAACAAGAACAAGAACAGCAAAAATGGTGGGAGGATGAAGGGCGAAGACTGGGAGCCATTGGACTGCTTGTTGGCAGTTCGTGCACAGCGTAAAAGGCAGGGGGG